GGTCCTGGGTGGCAGCTGCAGGCAGAGTACCCCTCTGGTCGACCTGTACCACCACGATTTCCAGAAAAAAATCTATTTTTTAAGATTTATTTATGTATATGAGTGCTCTATCTTCATGTACGGCTTTATTCCAGAAGAGTGTATTGTATCCCACTATAGATGGTTGTGAGCCACCATTGAACTCAGGACCTCTCTCTGGAAGAGCAGCCAGTGCTCTTAACTGCTGAGCCATCTTTCCACACCCTGCCCCCAAGAAAAGAATCTATTTTTTAATAAAAGGGGAGCCGGGCAGTGGTGGTGCACACCTGCAATCCCAGCACTCCGGTAGCAGAGGCAGGTGGATCTCTGTGAGTTCAAGGCCAGCCTGGTCTACATAGCAAGTTCCAGGACTGACTCAATAGCTACTAAGAAACCCTGTTTTGAAAAGCAAAAACAAAAAGTTAAAATGAAAAAAAAAAGTGGTAAAAAAACAAACAAAAGAGAAAGCTGTACAATGTCTTTCAGGTGAAAAGTCTGTGTGCTTATCTTTAGGAGCTTCAGTATGTTTTTTAAAAAATCTTTTAGGCCAGGAGATGGTGTGTGCCAGGGGTAAATATTGATCTACTAGCCAAAGCCTCCCAGGTTGGCTAGGCCTCCTCATTAACACCCACATTCAGGGGGCCTGGATCGGTCCCATGCTGGCCTCTCAGCCATCAGTCTGGGGTCCAAGATATCCCCCTTGTTCAGGTCAGCTGTGTCTCTGGGTTTCACCAGTCCAGTCTTGACCCCTTTGCTCATCACTCCTGCCTCTCTGTCACTGGATTTCAGGAGTTCAGTTCAGTGTATAGTTGTGGGTATCTGCCTCTGCTTCCATCAGTCACTGGATGGAGGTTCTAGGATGGCATAAAAGGTCGTCGTCAAACTCATTATCAGGGAGAGGCATTTAAGGTAGTCTCTCCACTATTAGTTTGCCAGTTGGCGTTATCCTTGTAGATCTCTGGAGATCTCACTAGTGCCAGATCTCTCCTCAAACCTAAAATGACTCCTGCTATTATGGTATCTCTCCTCCTGCTCTCCTCAATTCTTGCCCCTTCTCAACCTTCCTGCTCCTCTCCCCTCCTCTTTTACCCCTCACTTTTTCCTGGCTCCCTCTCCCCTCCCCTGCCCCATACTCCCAATCTATTCAGGAGATCTTGCTTCATTCCACCATCTCTGGGTTACCATGCATATCTCTCTTAGGGTTCTTCCTGTTCCCCAGTCTCTCTGGCAGTGGGGTTGTAGGCTGACACTCCCCTGATTCATTTCTAAAATCCATATATGAGCCAGTATATACCATGTTTGTCCTTTTGTAACTGGGTTACCTCACTCAGGATGGTTTCTTCTAGTGCCATCTATTTGGTGGCAAATTTCAAGATTCCATTGTTTTTTTCCATTGAGTAGTACTCCATTGTGTAAATGTACCACATTTTCTCTATCCACTCTTCAGTTGAGGGGCATCTAGGTTGCTTCCAGGTTCTGGCTATTACAAATAGTTCTGGTATAAACATAGTGAAACAGACATCCTTCTTGTATGAATATATATTTTTTGGGTATATGCCTAAGAGTAGAATTGCTGGGTCTTGTGGTAGACTGATTCCCATTTTCCTGAGGAATCTCCATACTGATTTATTGCAATTTTTGTTTTGTCTTTTCCTCCCTTTCTTGCATTTATTGGATTTTTTGGTTTGTTTTTTCTTCTATTTCTTGTATTTTTTGGTTTGTTTTTTTCTTCCATTTCTTGCATTTTTGGTTTGTTTTTTCTTCCATTTCTTTAAGGGATTTTCTCATATCATTTTTGAGGGCTTCTATCATTTTTATGACATTGTTAGTAAGGTCATTCTCTTCTGCTTCATCTGCATTGGGGTGTTCAGGTCATGCTGGTGTGGAGTCTCTAGACTCTGGTGGTGGCACATTTGTTTTTCTGTTGCTGAGTTTGTTTTTATATTTTCTCTTTCCCAACCCTTCTTCCAGTGAGTGCAGGAAGGACCTCTTATTCTCCTAGTGGGTAGGGAATCAGGGTTCCCTTTTGGCGGGTGCAAGCAAATCCAATACTCTCTGGCCTCTGCTGTGTGTCCTGCCCTCTGCCCTGAGTGGGGGCAGGAGTAGACTGGCTCTCTCAGGAGGCTCCTGGTGATTTGGTCCTCAGGGGCGAGTCAACCTAACTGCAGTCCCCAGGCCATGAGATCCGAGAGAGGGTGAGTGGAAGAAAGTGGGGGGGAGGATGGGGGCTAGGAGCTCTAGACTAGTATCTTAGCTATGGTTTCTATTGCTGTGAAGAGACACCATGACTATAGGAACTCTTATAAATGAAAACGTTTAATTGGGTGCTTGGTTGGCTTACAGTTTCAGAGTTTTGACCTATTATTGTATGGTGTTACACAGGTAGATATGGTGCTGGAGAAGTAGCTAAAAGTTGTATATCTTGCAGGTAATAGGAAGTGGACTGAAACACTGGGTGGTGTTCTGGAAATCTCAGAGACGGCCCCCACAGTGACACAGGCCCTCCAACAAGGCCATAACCATTCCAACAAAGACAAGCCTGAGAATAGTGCCACTCTCTATGAGATTATTAGGACGAATTACATTAAAACTACCACAAGTGTTCTACTAAAAGCTATGCCACCATCCTTTTAAGCCCACTCTAAAATTTCTAATTTCTTTTTTAATGAAATAGCAAGAACAATGATGACACCCTAAAATCTATGGATGATTATATCATATATTGTGTTAACATTGTCTTCAGTAGAGTGGTGGTGGCAGGCACTGTTAATCCCTGCACTCGGGAGGCAGAGGCATGTGGGAATGTTTGGGTTTGTATGTCATTGTCAGGGTACACAAGTGCTCGAACATGCCCAGAGTGGGTAGGCCCCTAGCCTCATTGTGGGGTCATGAGGTCCACAGAAGACTTCACTCCTAGATGAGCCTGCCCCATGTAGACCAGGAAGCACACATCTCCTCCCATTCTCCTTCATACTCAGAATACCTCTAGCCATTCAAAATCCCCTTAGAAAAGTAAAGAAGGGACTCTTTACTCCTATCCCAGTCTCCTAGACAACTGAGATTTTGCAAGACTTCCCAGGGATTTGGAGATACATATGTAGTAAACTAGCATCACCCCAGATCTTTAAACCCAGAGACCCATCTACCTGCCCTGCACAGGGCCATCTTGGCCCCAGTAGTAGGGGAGGAGTCACCAAGTCTCAGTAGGATAGGACTCATCATCTGGACTTCACATATGTTCACACTAGACTGCTCTGAACAAATCTTTTCCAGTTATAAGCCCAGTACCCTGACTGTGTCTGCAGTCAGAGGACTCCTCTTATCCCTTCAGACTTGTCTCTGAGCCCAGCCTTTGAGATGTTGGGACTGACACCTAGCCCCAGAATCTTAGAACATTCACTCCAAAGTTCAGGAGCCTCCGAGTGCAGCACTGTATGAGTTCACAGCTCCATGAGCACTTTCCCACCTTTTCTGAAAAGACGTGATCTTATGTAGCTCATGTTGACCTAGAATTCTCTAGGTAGCCTAAGGTGGCCTCCGAGCTGGATTTCCCCGCCTTCATCTCCAGAGTTCTGGGATCACAGGCATGAGCCAGTCTCCGGGTTTTGGTTTCTTTTTCAGGAGACAATGAAGCATTTGGTATCTCCACAGAGACTACCAGCAAACGTGCCTTGTCAAGGTCCGGGTGTCCACGTTCCTGCATTATGTCATGGCAAGTGTATGGCCATCAAGGACACAGGACGAAGTTAACAGGGCAGGTGTAAATTCACTGTAATCCAGAGCTAGTGCCAAGTTTTAGAGGAAGTGGCATTCAGGGGGGCAGTAAGAAAGTAGGGTCAAATACTGACTCTCAGCAATCACGTGAGTGTTGGGATTAAAGAGACACTGTTTGCTGCTAGAAGGAATGATTTCCAGCCTCTGGAATGCAAAGGAGGTTGCCTTGTTGGATGGAGAAAGTGACAGTTAAAACAAAGTCAAGATTGTGAGGAGGAGGACTATCAGTATAGTCAGAGGTAAGAAATAAAGGCAGGGTGAAGACCAGGATGGATTTCCCTTTAGAAAGTCATTTTTTGAAGAACACTAGCTGGAAAATTCAGTGATCTGTGTCCAGCGTGGATAAATGTAGTGTATATGGGGGTGAGAGTGAGTGGAAACAGTCTTGATGAAGGACTGTGCCTCGATGAGGGGCGTGGTTTAGCTGCACTGACATGTGGCAAAGGACTTGAAACAGCTCTGTAGATCAGTGAAAACTATGTAGAGTTCTATTATGGTCCTCTAAAGTAGGTCTTTGCCTGTTTTTCCAGAGGTAACGCACACTCCGCAAGGTAAGTTTGATTTGTGTGTGTGAAGAACACCAATTTTCAGTTCTAGCTACACAGGCACTTCGGTTTGTGGTTGCATCTGTTATTGATGGCTTGCTACAAGTTAATTAACAAAACTCTCCCGCCTGAAGATTCTTGCTCTTAATTTCGTCTTACAGGGAACAGAGCTGCGGAGGAAGCAAGCAATTTGTCGTAGGTCTCAGGAGTAAATGTAGAGCCAGGATTTCTCTAGAGGCCTTATTATGCTGACATTAATACTGACATTTTCCTGTGTCATTGGTAGGATGCAAGAAGGAACTTGACATTTGAAAAGCAAGTACTTATTAAATTATTAATTTAAAAATTACTATTACTATATTGTTTGAGTCGCCCCAAGTTTTTGCATTGAGCAGTCATCATTTGGACAAATCCTTTGGATTAAAGAAAAAAAAAAGATCCCTCAAGTGAGGAGGCTGAAACTTGCTGAAGCCAGAGTCTCAGAGGCTGCAGAGCCTGGGCCAAGACAGAAGGGGCGGGTTAAAGGGGCAGGACCAAGTCGCAGAACTGTGATTGAGGGCGGGATCTGGAGGAGAGAGGCGGGGCTAAACTCGGCTGCGCATGCTCGGTGTGGACCCTACTCCGCTGCTGCGGCTGCCACCTCCCACTCGGGAGTAGGAGTGAGCTGCAGGCGACCAGGTAGCAGAGAAGGGCCCCGCTGGGCGAGCTTACGTCCTTGTCCTGGTGGCTGCAGCTCTGTTCCTTCTTCTTCACTGTCAACGCCGGCCTCAGTGGCTCACAGCTGGCAGTGGCTGCGGGCGGCTCAGGCCGCGCGAGGGGCGCCGACACCTGTGGCAGGAGGGTAAGGTCAGGGCTTCTTCGCGCTCCAGGTTACCTGAGGGCGAGCGGCGCGCACAGGTGCTCGCAGACAGGCGAGTCGGGGTCGTCCGATCTGCAGACCCTGGTGTCAGTGGTGTCCCTGGCTCCTCCAGCCCGTCCCACATCAAGCTCCCCAGGCAAGCATCCGCCGGTTCCTCTCTGGATGAAAGGTGACTCCGGACCCTGGCTTTGTGTTGCTAATGGGGCGCGTCTGCTGCCTGGGGTCGGACTCCCGAGGGCTGGGCGGCTGGGCGGGGGCTGTGCGCCCCACCCTTTTTGTTCTCGGCTCTCTGCCCCTGGGCTTCGCTTCCTGGACTGGGATCTTCCAGGCTGTCCCGGTACACATGAACTTCGGAGCCCATGGATCGTGCCCTGGACCTCCAGTCCACAGCTCTGCAAGGGCTTAAGGGCATCCAGGGAAGGGACCCTGGAGAGCTAGGGAAGGATGCATTCACTTTCTCTCTGTCGCTCTGTTCCTTCTAAGCAGCTCTGTCACCCTACTCCTTCCTACGCCACTGGGGATTCTTAACTTTCTAAGAGACTCTGCCTGCAGGTCTCATGATGCCACCACTAGCCGCCAACGCGCCTCAGCTTGAGTTGAGGGTGTTTTCATGGCCAAAGGGCAGCGAAAGTTTGTCTGCTCCGCCAGGTGCCCCAGACCTGAAACTGGTGGAGCCCACACTTTCCCTGTGTACTTGAAAGCCCTCTCCCCAAAGCAGGAATTCCTTTCCTGTTGTCTGGGTAGTGCGGCCCCCTGGTCTGCAGACCTTGAGCCTTCCACAGAGACAAGGGCGCTGAAAGTCAAGCCACTCACACCTTCAACCCTATTGTAAGAACACAGTTTGCCATCCGGGCAGCCCAGTCTGGAGTGCCCAGTCTCAGTTTCCTTACCTAGAAAACTGGAAGGGGGTGGGGGAGTGGGAGGGTTGCTTATTCCGCAGGGCTCAGGGATATGTTGAGGGCAGCTTGCTTAGACCAAAGTTGTCTTCCCTTTTGCCATGGACTCTACTAAACAGCTCAGTACAGACAAGACCCAGAATAGGACACCTCTTAGGGACACTTGGCTCACTTCTCAGTTAGAGAGAAACACAGTTCAGAAAACGAGGTAAGAGCGGGCAGCTGCAGGTCAACCATTCCCACTCCTCTTAGTGGACTCTGCTCGTCTTCCCCTTTTGGGTAAAGCCTCACGGTTTCTTGCTGTGTTCCACTGCAATAAAACCTCACTGTTAGTTTTAACAGATTGCAAATTTTCTTAAGGCTATCACATGTTGACTTGCTAAATCTCTTGTAAGATTTTTGATCTAGACTGGCAGTTGCTGCTTTTCTAGAGTAGCCTAGAATGCATGAAGCGTGTGTAAAGTTTTAACATTGGGTGTATTAGTTGTCTCTGAAGAAGCCAAAGCAATGTTTTTGCTCTTCAGGAATGCATCGCTCAATAACTGCCCCCCACCCCGTTGATGTGGTCCCATCACTAGTACCCACATTCCTGGCCTCCTGGGAGTGATCTCAACAGCTCCTGCCTTGGTGACAACTACAGTCCTTTCCGTGGGTCACCAGCTCCTTCCTGGATGAGCATGGAAGCTTCTGGGCCGTATCCCAGATTCCAGGCTCTGAACCACAGCTCCTTCCTGCTGAAATTGCCTGCTTGGTACACGTGAAAGTAGGCCCAGCTTACCCAGCCTTCTTCTAGCACAGCCATGGGTTCTGCCCCCTCCTTCCCTGTTGCTTGCCTTCTAAGTCCTTTCCCACAGCCAGCATGTGCTTCCCATCTTGACTGTGTTCTGGCCCGAGAGCGCCCTGCTAGGTTTAAGGGTCTGCTCATGTGCCGCCTCTTCCAGGAAGCCCTCCCAGGACGCTATGCCCTGTGCTTTACTTTCTCATCCAGGTCCCTTAGTCTTTGGTGCTCACCAGCTTTGTGTGTTTAGTTTCCATGGTGGGGTCGAAGCTTGGAGCCCTATAATCTTGGCTGAGGCCATGTAGACCATGGCATCTTTCTGCAAAATCCTTTAGTGCATGGTTTGAAGAGTCGGAAGAGCTGAGCCTAGTGCTGTAATCCCAGCTACTCGGGTGACTGAGGCAGCAGGATCAAAAGTTTTGTGCCTGCCTAGGCTTCAGAATGAGTTTCAGGGCTAGCCTAGGCAACTTAGAGAGACCCTGTCTGGAAGGAAGGGAGGAAGGAAGGGAGGGAGGGTGGGAGGGATGGAGGGAGGGAGGGAGGGAGGAAGGAGAAAGAAGGAGGGAGAGAGACAGAGACAGAGAGTCAGAGACAGTGCTGGAGGTGATACAACTCAGCAGCAGAACACCTGTGTGACAGCCTGAGGTCTGCGTTCATCTCCAGAGGGAGGCAGGCAAGGAGGTCTCAACGCCAGGCTTCAGTCTATCATGTTCTGTGTGCAGTAGGACTTTGCACAGCATTCCTGGCTGCAGCCACCTTCAAATATTGGGGAAAATATCACCCTTTTGCTTCTTACCTTTTTAGTGACTTCTCTGAACTCTATCATGGCTTCTTGCAGGAAACCCTCCCTATCCCCACCTTACTAATTAAGATGTCACAGATGTTACGTTGTCTTCTCTGAACTCTGTCATGGCTTCTTGCAGGAAACCCTCCCTATCCTCACCTTACTAATTAAGATGTCACAGAGGTTGCCTTGTCATGGGGTTCTAGTAGGCACCAATGTTCAGAATCTTGGGATTTTTGAGTCACACCTGCTTCGTACAGGTCTCCTACTCATCCTGTGCATGTTGGCCCCAACTCTGAGGTCATTTATGGTCTAGTTGGGTCTGTATAAATAAAATATATAGGAGTCAAAGGCCGAGGCAGGAAGATGGCTGTGTCGTGGTCAATCCACCCACCCACACTACAGAAAGAAAGCAAAGACAAGGCTGGGAGGGTGTTTGGGAACTGTAGCTCATTTGCTGAGTGCTTGCTGGCATCCCCAGGGTCAGGGGAAGGATAAGGAATAAACATAGGTGTAGTGGTGCTACCAAGCCTTTAGCACCCAGAAGGTAGGCAGATCTCTGTGAGTTCAGCACCAGCTTGGCCTACATACTGAGCTCTAAGCCAGCCAAGGATACATAATGGGACCCTACCTCAAACAAACAAAAATAAGGAGCAAGGGTAAATAATTTGTGATTCCAACAGAAGTGGGTATCTGGGGTCTGAGTTTCACTTAGAACCTTGAGCCTTGGAGCCTGAAGGTGGGGCAGGGTCTGGACACTGGAGAACAAATGACTGAATGCCCTGCTTAATAATCTCCATAGGGCATTTGGGCCAGAAACCCAGGCAGCTGTAGGACTGGGTATTTCCCCAGGATTTACAGGGTTTGCAGCTAGGGGAGCTTCTCTCAAGGGCCATGGGCTGGCCTGGTTTAAGTGGTCAGGTTTCACAACCTCCCTATTACTTGGGTAATTAAAGGACTGATTCCATCTCAAACACAGCTCAGTCTTTAGAAATGAGTTGTGGGCACATTTCTTAACTATTTGAAGAAAAACCCCTCCTAGTCTTTGCTGAGTAAAGTTGTGCTGTGAATAATAAATACTGCTTTTTTCCGAAGAGTAACATTTCGTGATGCTTTCAGGCTGCAGGCTCCTACCTCGACACCAGCTTGAAACACTACTACTTAGGTTGCTTTTTCTTTCTTTCTTTTATTCGTTTTTTTTTTCTGATTTTCGAGACAGTGTTTCTCTGTATTGTTTTGGAGGCTGTCCTGGAACTCTCTCTGTAGACCAGACTGGTCTCCAACTCACAGAGATCCTCCTGCCTCTGCCTCCTGAGTGCTGGGATTATAGGGGTATGCCATCAACGCCCGCATTTTCTTTCATTATTTGAAACAGGATTTCTCTAGGTAACAGTCCTGGCTGTCCAGGAACTCACAGAGATCTGTCTGCCTCAGCCTTTCCAGCATTGGGATGAAAGGTGTGCGTGTGCCACCATTACCGCCTGGCACTTTATTTATTTTTTTGGTGTGTGTGTTTCATTTAATTGATTTACCAGATTAGGTTGTGCAGGTGTGTACTCATGCAGAGGTCAGAATGTGTCAGGAGACCTGTTCTATTACTTTGTTGTAGTCCCTTGTCACATGTCTCTCACTGATACTGGAACTGGGCTGTAGGCCAGCAAGCCCGCCCCAGTGATTCTCTTGTCTCTGCTCCTCTTAGCATTCATGGTCTTACAGGCTTAGCACATAAGCATGGGTGTCAAGGATTCCGGCTCAGGTCCTCTGCTTGCCCAGCAATTGCTTGTGCCCACTGAATCATTTCCCTATCTTCAGCTGTTTTTGATGATGGAATTGTTGTTTGTGATGGTTACCTTTAATGTGTCAACCCCTCGTGCTGAGAGATTCTGAAACCTCCCCCTGTCTTGATAAAAACAGGAGTTCCGACGTCAGGCTTGGTGGGCCAAACGCATAAAGACTTTGAAGGCAGAGCAGGAGGATCGAGAGTTCAAGGCCAGCTTGGAGGCTATATTGTCAGTTTTGGCCTAACTGAAGTATTACATAATGAGACCCTAACTTAAAAAGCAAGCAAGCTCATAAACAAACAAGTGAACCAAAAACCTCAGAATCCCTGGAAGAGCAGCCAGTGCTCCTAACTGCTGAGCCATCTATCCAGCCCATGAGTGAAACTTTTTATTAATGTGATGGTGTGTTTATCTGATGTAAATTTGTTGTCTTGTGTGGAAATTGTTCTGATTAACTCAAGTCACAACTATAGAGGCAGCAGGAGGTCCTGTAACAGCCTTGAGGGCAATGTGTCAGTTTGAAGACTTCCATTTTATTCCTCAAGCTCTCCAGAAGCAAGAAAGCAGCCTTAAGGATACCATACTCACTGAAAGAATATTCATTGGGTCTCTACTCCCTTTCTTTATGTGTCATTGTCCCTTTCTGTTTCTGTATATTTGTTTTTCTCTATCTCACTGTTATTTCTCATGTGTTTGAGGTTTCTTCATCATGATTCTTTATGTCTCTTAATTTCTGGCTGTCTTTCTTCTTTTCCTCTGTATTATTCTCTCTCTCCTAGTATATTTTATATTTCATTTTCCCACATTTCTCTTTTTCTGCCCTTTCTACATACCCATTGCTCTTTCAGTAATAGGTGAAAGATCTGGGAATGAAGGAATGCATTGTGCCGAATCTACAGTAACCTCTGTAATTTCCCTCTCACTATTGAG